TTCTGGTTAGTAATGTTTACTATCCTTTACTGCCCCTTTTCATGCAAATGCAGAATCCAGGGCAGTTCTTTGAGCTGTTGAGGACAGAACAAATGCCACAAATGCAGTTTTTCACATGCTGATGATTGCCAGGATAAACCTGCGTTAACTAAGCACAGACCCATCTTTGCAGTTTCTCATTGGAAACTTGGATCCGACAAGCCATTCTATAACATGCACAGAATTTTTCTGATTTTTGCCCAAAAGCAATGTAACCTAAGGATTCAGCATAGTGGGTAGAGGATCAGCCTACAATACGAGGGGCTCAGCTTTAATGTCCAGTACCACCTACGTGAGGTGATGGAGGCACATGGGCCTGTGGAATCAGGAAGATCAGGACCTCAGGTCACTGCTAGGCTTTGGCCAGCTTCCGGTCCACCTGGACAACATTAGAATCTGTCTAAAGACAAAATGTGAAGCCTAAACATAACACAAATGACCATGAAAAATTTGAACAGGATCAAAAATACTAATAAAAAGAAAACTTACATAACACTGCAAACAATTTACTAGTAAATATTTGTCAAACCTTCTGTCTTAGCCGGGGCACATGCCTGTAATCCCAGTATTCACTCAGGGAGGCAGAGGTTGTCAGATCGCTGTGAGTTCGAGGCCAGCCTGGTCTACAGCAAGTCCAGAACACCCAAGGCTACAGACAAACACTGTCTCAAAAACCAAACAAACAAAGAAACACAAAGTTCTGTTAAGGCAGGACTTCTGGACTGAGAGAAGGAGAACGGGATGGGGGGAGAGAGAGAGAGAGCTTCAGGGGGACCAGGAGGAGTCACCATTGGAACACAGATGAAGAAGGAGGTTCCAGGATGAGACTAAGATGGCAGGTAACGGGCTACATGGCTGGGAAGTAGGCCAGATCAGCATAGTTGAGTGAGCATAGCTCACTATCTGCCCAGCTGTGGTGCCTGAAGCTTTTAGTATATATGGAAAGTTTCCATGCCATGACTCAGGAGCTACAGCAGGCCTCGAAGAAACCATGCATTTTACATGACCTTATGTTAACTTTATTAATGATATTTGACAAGAATAAGCAGGATCACACTCTACAGTATTGGGGGATAAATCGTCAACCCATGAATATGAAGACAGTCACCCCATAATACTTTCTAATGGAGAGGAGGAAAGCAAAAAATATTGATGGCATAACATAATAACGGTAGTTTTTCAAAATTACTGCACCCGAGACTCCATGCTTGCTAAACATGCTTGTACATAAAAAATAAAATATATGAGTCTACCTGTAATTTGGGACTTAATATTGATCTGCTTGGTTCATTAGAAGTCCAAGTGATTATTGGGTACAGTGGCACACGTAATTCCAGCCCTTGGGAAGGCAGAGACAGGCAGATCCCTGTGACTTTGAGGCTAGCCTGCTCTACAAAGTGAGTACAGGACAGCCAAGGCTAAACAGAGAAACTCTGTCTTGAAAGAAACAAAACAAAACAACACTTCAAATGATTAGTAAAATAAATGTTTATTTGTAGTTAAAGAAATCATCTCCAATGCACTTATTTTTAATACCTCTCTATTCTGGTTTTCTTTTTCTATTTATGAAACTATATATTATTTAACCATTTCTAATGCAAAAGACATTTAGAGTTGGCTCAGCATAGAAAGTTAAGTCTATGTAATGACCTGAATATAGAATATATTTTCAGTTGTAAATTATATTCAGTGATTTGTATTTTTGACAAAAATGATTTAAATTATATTTCCTTACTTACATATAGGCCTAATTATACCCACAGCATTACAAGCATGTATTATTGCTCTGATGAAAAATACACCACTCTAAAAAATATTTTCAAGTCAGCTCTCTCTCTCAAAATCTGTATTTTCTATATCCTTTTGTGAGGTAAGTGATTTTTAAATATTTCAAAGTGAGGGAATTCAAACACCTAATTTTTCATTATTTGAGTTTGATTCCACTGTTAGCAGTCACTGCTTCAATAGCAGGATGAGTACAGGGAGAATACGACCGACGTGACAAATGATTCCTGCTAAAAAAATTCACTGTGCTAGATGCTACAGCAGAAAAATATGGATAAAACCCTTCACAACTTACAAATGTTAGCTGAAATATGAAGGCTAGATCTTCTATGTTTATTCTGAATGTTCTCTTTGAATAGATTTTCCTGTAGTCCTCTCATGACCTAAGTTTACATCTCTCTGTTCAGTCCTACAAAGCCCAGAATGGGGGACACTGTCCATTGGCACTTTTTTCAGTTTTCATTCCAAGCCCCTCCCTTCTCTGAACTCTCCATCTTCTGTCCAGGTCCAATAGGCATGTCCTCTGAAGAACACTGCTCAAACCCTGTATCTCAAATGTGTGTTCATGGCCCCTTGACTTTGACTCTGACTGTTAATTTGTGAATGTGTGCTTCTGATCTTTTGCACTCTTGACTTCTAAATCTTTTTGGCTTCAAAGACCTTTCTTGTGCTTGTTTCTGTTTGCTGTGAAGTTCAGTCAGTCCTTCTGCAATTTCAATCCCCTAGCCCTGTTTCACCATCTTCTCTACTGCCAGAATACCCATCCCTTTGTTTCTCCAGAGGATCTCATAAACCTACTCACGTAGCCCTTGTTGGATCCAAACCATGAGGGGTCACTTTCATCTTTCTTTCCTCTTAGAATTCTATATAGCTAAAAAACGTTTAAAACAAAAAACCTGGTTTCTGAAGCGACCTCAAAGTCCCACGGAATTTTCGATTCTCCTGCATTTCTCAGCATGTGAAAGGATTGACTCCACTCTCCACTAACTCTGCACAGGCAAAGCAGCAGAGTGTGTTGGTGAAAGACAGAATCATGTTTCCTGCCCTCCACGCACAAGGTAGCCATGAGACTGCCTGGAGACCCCTTCGTCATCACTTGCTCATAATCCCACTGTCGTCTATGCCCCTGTCTCTTCACACTCCCAACACGAACTCCTCTGTCACCAGCCTCCGTAAAGAACCTGCTTCTGCATCTAAAGCGGAAAAAGACAGCTCTCGGCCAGGAATTTCCATATTACCTTTTAAATCACCAGCCTAATAACTTTTGTAGCAACAGAGAACTTGCTGCCTATGCAGTGGGCTGAGACAAATTCCAGGCTCAGGTCCCTTCCAGCAGAATTGCTGGATCAGAATCAGCGTCTCCTAAATCTCTGAGTTTTTCTTTCAGCAGCGAGTAAGCGTGTGGTTCATTCTCTTGTTTTAAAGGAAATGGGGACTCTTATTCAGGTCCCACTTTGTCTACAGACTCCTCATTCTCTCCCTGATTTTCCACTTGCAATTAGAAGTAACTTTAGTTTCTCAATAGTTTGAAGTCACTTGTGGGATGTTCAAAAGCACATGGAAGTACAAGCTGAGACATGACTACCAGTGATAGTGGCCCCGACTGCCATAAAGATAAGTGAAAAGTTGTGAGTGATTTTCTTCCAGACTCTCAAGGGACAACACTGAAGGAAACTGATGTGCTCTTGTGTCAAAGGGCAGCTGGGGGAGGGAGGAATACAATCAAATAAACTGTATGAAACTGTCAAAGGATGAGTAATAAGTCACAGCAAAAGTTGGGTAGAAAAGGACACAATTGTTGAGTGGGCTGGGGAGGAATTTGGGAGAGGTTGAACATGTTACAGAAAAACTGTATGAAATTCTCAAAGAATTAATAAAATTTTTTAAATAGAAGAATAAATGAATGTGTTTACTGACTGTTGTCTAACACAGTGGAGCTCCTCACTGGGGCTCCTGGTGTCCACTCAGAAATGTCTGCCTTGGGGAAACATTTTTATAGTGTTACAGGAAAAGTTAGCAATTGATATCATTGAAATCTCTGAGTCCTGTAATAGGGTATAATTCTATTTTATTTTTTCATTTTAGCTGTTTTCTATATTGCAACTCCAATAAAGTAAATTGCTTTCAAGGAAGAGAAATTACATGACTTCTTTCTTACCTTCAGGTTGTGGGCTTTCATGACAAGATGTTAAAGGGTCACATGCAGGAGACTTTCTTGATTTTGAGTGATCGTTCTTCCTTTCTCTTTCTTTCCTTTCTTTCTTTCTTTCTTTCTTTCTTTCTTTCTTCCTTTCTTTCTTTTTTCTTGCTGTTTTACTTTGAGACAGGGTTCCTCTGTGTGGCCTTTCCTGTCCTGTACTTGCTTCGTAGAGCAGGCTGGCCTTGAATTCACAGAGATCCACCTCTGCCTCCCCGAGTGCTGGGATTACAGGCATGTGCCACCATGCCAGGCAACTGATATTTCAAGGAGTATGAGAGTGAGGCCCTTCAGCCCTTCCATCAATCCACAGAGACTACAGACTTAAGAATTTTGCAAAGAAAAGCACTCTTGGTGCCAAGGTTAGGAACAAAATGTCTTCGCCGTCCTTTTTGGATGTCTGTAGAGCTGAGTGTCACTCTCATCTCATCTTCACAAAGTACCAGCTTGAAACAGGAGCTTAAGAAGAGATGACATGTCCAGACAGTCCATGTAATGCTAAATCTGATGACTTCAGGGAAAGATAAAGTCACTAAGAAATAAGTTTGCACAAACGGGAACTAAATGCTAGCTACAGGATCTCTAAAGTATATGCTTCCTTGTCCTGTGTTTGTAAAAGAATCAGCCTGGGCACATAACTATCATCTTTACTGTTTGTACAGTGAAATATTTACTCCACCTCTCTTCATAATGCTCTTCATAAAGCTTGGTCGTGGCATTTTATTACTCCGCTTCTCTTTCTCTCCCGTCTGACCACCACATTCTCACATATTGTGGTGGCTTCTCTTGCAGGCTGGCCACATGACTGGAGGGCCCTTGGGGGATATCCTCTGCCCCCTGCTCCCTGAGTGGCACGGTGGTAAACAGGTATCTACAACCCTACTGTGCAGGTCTGTGGATGGCTTAAGATCCATAGCTCTCTGTCTGTCTTCCTCCTCCCCTGCTGCTCTGCCTGGATTTGATTTGATTTAATTTGATTTGATGAGTTCTAGGAATGAAACAGCTTTGGCCACCAACCCAGGCACCCAGCTGGGATGAGCAAAGGACTGCCATCTGCTCTGCCCCTGATTGGTGTAAGAACATCACCACCAACATGATATCTCTTAGCCCATTGCCAAGAGGAATTGTTATGGTTTTTATTACCTTCAAAATGTAGAGGCTAATGGGAGACTTTACTGAAGGTATGCCCCTCAAAGTTGAGCCATTTTTTTGTTTGTTTGTTTTTAAATCTGTATTCCAGAATACAGGTAAGCACGTTTTTTCTGACATACAATCTCTATCACAGTTGACTTACCTCACCAGCTAATAACACTCTTAGTTACTTTTCTATTGCTGTAATAAAATACCATGACCAAGGCAACTTAAAAGAAAGAGTTTATTTGGGCTTGCCATTTCAGAAGGTTAGAATTATGCCCATCCTACAAAGCATGGCAGTGGGAACAGCTGAGAATTTACCTACTGATCCTCAAGTAAGAGAGGATCTCAGAGAGAGGCTTGGAATAGTATAAGCTTTTTGAAATTGCACAGCCTGTGCCAACGACATGCTTTCTCCAATAAGGCCACACCTCCTAATTCTTTCTAAACAGTTCCACCAACTGGGGACCATGCATTCAAGTATATTAGCCTATGAGAGCCATTCTCATTCAAATCACCATGAACACTTCAGCTCTCTGATTCTACAGATAATGAAATTCTACATACATATATACATATGTAAAATCTTGGGATATGAGTTTTCTTAATTAACTGCAGTCCATCTTATTAAGATCTTTAGAACAGTTTAAGAAGAATGCTTGAGTGCACTGAGATGCAGCAGACCCATGTTCCATCTCCACTGTTGGGATAGAAGGAAAGAAGAGAGTGGAGAAGGAGAATTGATTTGGTTTATGTTTGAAACAAGGCTGCCTTGACAAGAGTCATCTCTGGCCCCACAACCCAGCAGTGCACACAGAGAACATAACCATAAAGAGTTTCTGAATCTATGAGCGTTATCTTCCATCTCAGCTGAGCACCAGGCACACTTTAAATAATAATTCACATGTACTTTACTCATTACTTAAATTGTCAGAGATGCAAAGTGACTACTTAATTGTTTTTATCAGTGACAGGCATTTTTTATTTTTAGGACATTATCCCCCAAGCACAGAACCTATGCACCTATATATAGAACAGTTTGTTGATATACTATAGGAACACAAAACACTGCATAGCCAAGTTCATAATATTTAACTTGGCAATTAGCTACAAGGACATAAAATGTCTGAATTCAGCCCATTCCCACAAAGTGGGGATCAGGAGAATGTGTACCAACACAGTATATGTCACCATCTATGATGATCAACACACAGCCCCTGGCTATTGGCAAAGACGCAAACACGCGAAGTCAGCCAGTGGCAAAGACATGTCACTCCCCGTTATTACTAAGAAAGCAAAATAGACTCCCTATGATAATAAAGTACTTTTCCAGTTTAAATTTAGCCTCAGCTCCATGTTCCTTTTAATTTTGAGTTTTTCATTCTAACAGTTTTAAGTCAGAAAAAGAAAATTGCACTATGAACAGTAAATTCACCAAGAAAGTTAAGAGAAAAAAATTTCAGATGGCTGTGTATTCCCTCTGGCAGCCTGTCCTCCCCTCAGAGCAAAGTGGAGCTAAGTGAAACATGTGAGAAGTGAGAACATGTTATCACCATTCTACTCTCAAGATCTCAGATTGTTTTTATAAACCAATATGGCAAGCTTGAATTAGATGGCATTTAAGAGGTGTACTGGTAGGCAGACAAATGTCAGCTCAGCACACCACTTAAAGATCCCCAAAAGGAAAGAGTAAAACAGATAGGTGATCGCCTTATCATTTGAGTGGTTTCCTAGACTGTAAACAGTCATTAAGGAGTCTGTGCAGGTCAAATTGTGGGCACCAGGACAAAATGCCTGAGATAACCAAGCTCTAGGAGAGAAAGATTTATTTTGGTTCATGGTATCAGCACTTTCAGTGCATGATAACTTGGTCATGGCCTCAGAGTCTTCCCATCACTCAACTTTTACTTACACACACACACACACACAAAAAAAAAATACACAATGACAGTATAAACTTAACAATATAAATAGAGTTCTTATCTGAACTACAAATAGAATTACAGATGCCTTTCAAGGTTCTCCAGTTCTTTACAACCAAACAAATCAAGGTCAACATATTGAGCACTGAACTTCTGTTTTATCCTCTCTCTCTCTTTCTCTCTCTCTTTCTCTCTGCTCCTTGTGTAAATTCACTACCGAGCATAGTTGTTCTAGATTTTCCTGTCATTCTCTAGTACACTGTAAATGTAGGTTTTTTTTTTTTTTGCTTTGTTTTGTTTTTTGTTTTTTTTATTTCCTCAGATGAGGGGATAAGATGACCACCATTCCCAAACCTCCTTCTAGCTCCTTCTGAACTCTCACTGGCTGGTTCAACTCAGCTGTTTTGCCTTAAACTCCTCTCCAAGCTGACCGATTCAAACTGGCTTCTCCTAGTTTCTGTCTGAGTTGCTCTGCCTGATCCTCAAACTAATTCTGGCAAAATGTTTCAGTGTCTGGATCCTTCTTATTCTCTGACCTCTGTCTTCGTGTAAGTTTAGCTTGCTGTCTCTGCAGCCTGTCTCTGTATAACTGGTAAGAAACTAGCAGTAACCCCCCGCCCTTCCTGTCTTCTTTTCATCAGAATTGGGTGAATCCTATCTCTGACTCACTTTGTCAAACCTTTGTTTGATTTGGCTTTTGTCAGCCATTTCCCTTGATCTGTCCCCACCAAGTAAACGAGATGCGTGTGCGTATGCTGTGGGTTAGTCCATGTGCCACAGGCAGCATTTGTGATAAGTATTTTATATTTATGTCTGCATAAACACAGGAGAAAACCCTAAATTATTAGAGAATTAGTTCCTGTCCATGCTGAGAAAAATTTGATGTTAATTTAAATAAATTTTTTTCAAAAGAGATTTCCCTTGATTTAATACAAGTCAAAGAAATATGAATTTAAGACACACACTTTTATTTACTTAAGCAGCAATAAGAGTTAAACAAAAAGAAATCCCTTCTTGAATTTAGAGACGCAAAATACTTTATTAAAGTTACATTTTATAACAATCAGTGTTAACTACCAGAAAACAAGAATTTGCTCTTCTGTTTCATCATTTAGCAACTACATGATGCCCAAAATACATGATGTTCACATCTGTTAAATAGGGTCCTGGGGGAAAGCTTTCTTTGAAAATAATAGAACTCTAGTTTAAAAAAAAAAACAAGGCAGTTTTTCAATAATAAATAGGATTTTGTAGTAGATGAGTATTGAATTTTGAACTAAGCTATACCTCCTTTCCACTTGACAAAGATGTCCCTTTTATTAAAGTCCAGTCTATAAAAAGGAGCCTCCCTACCCACCAGGGCCGAGGATATGTGATCATGTGATCCCATGTACACACCTCCAGGAGGAAGCCAGCTCAGTGAAAACTTTGCTGGCAAGAAGAGTCTTCTATTATTATCAATGCCTGCACACTGTGATAATAAAAGTCAGCCTTACTTGTATTTGTTTCACTTTTTCAATTCTCAAATGACAGCATTTCCATAAATAACCTGTATCCAAGATGAAGGAATCTCACTGTCTCACCATTGGTTATGGGTGTGTTTATTCATCAATGAGCAATATTGTCAAGAGACAGAAAATGCCTCTATGTTTCTTTCTCTCACACCAAAGCAGGCCTATAAAATACATGCACACACACACACACATATATATACATACACATGTATTATATATATATATTATATATATATATATATATATATATATATATATATATATATATGCCAGTAGAGGCAAGGCAATTATTGATGTCAAGCTATCTGAAACATGGTAATGTATGCACAGGAAGTATCAGAGAACGTGGCTAGCTAAGGGCTGGACAACAACAAATATTTGAAACATCATCCCAATCTAAAAACATCTGGTAAGTCTTCCTTTGCTTTCAGAGGTATTTTTAATGTCTTGATGAGAATATGTTCTAGGTTCTGCTCTCATCAGCCAGTTAGGAGCAGAAGTATTGCTATCTCCAACAGCAGCAGCAGCAGTGACGGGGGGGGGGGGGGGGTTGGGTTCAAGCTGCTTTCCAAAAAAAATCCAGGGTTAGGGCTCAACCCTCTGAGCTGCTCCCTTTGCCCATATGCTGCCTCTCCTCCTGGGGAGGGCTTAAGCCTCTTGATCTCTGTCTCTGCTCAGCAGGATCACCTTTATTTGCCTTGCTCCCTGAGGCCAGGGCACTGGAGAGTGGCTGTTTCCCCTAATGCTGATAAATTAATTAAGGGCATGGCAAGCCTAACCGGTTTGGAAGGATTCTGAAATCCTCTGGTTGGAGGCTTTCACTGAGTAGAACATGTTTATCCATTTCACAGGACCTGTATTTTTAGATCAATGACCTTTGGCTGCATGATTCATTCTGAGTTCATTTTCCCCCCAGTGCGTGTAGTTTCACATAAACCTATTTAAAAACAATAAAGCAAATGATGTTTCAAAAGGAATACAATCCATTCCACACCTGTTTCCTTTGACTATTTTGGTAGAAATGTGCTGTTTCTGTGATAATTATACTTTTGCTATACAATATGCAACAAAAATATTTATATATTTTTATTGCTGTAGCATATGAATAGTTTATTTTTAAATGAGTACTGTTAATGTTATTTTCAGTAAAACACTCATACACAAAAACCAAGACATTTTCGCATGTAGTGATAAAATATTTTCTGAGTACCATTTATCTTCATAATATTCTTTTTGTAAAATTTTCCTAGGTTTTCCTATCTCATTATGTAATGAAAAAATGTATGCATATATAAATAATTACTTTAGATGAGGCACAATCTGCTCACACGGCCCTCCACAGCCTTCATGTAGATCCTGACGCCGCTAAGTAATCATTTGTGATCTAGAAAAATAATTCTACGGTTTGCCATAAGTATTTTTCACAAGATATAATGAGCATCCTTCTTCAGGACCTTTGCCATCACCTACTGGAGGAGAGCACTGCACTGGATGTCTTTGTATGGTCCACCTGCTGTTAGGATCCACTGCCTTGCTTTACGCTGTGGGGCTGC